AACGCAAATATTTTACATTCTGGCAAAAGGGTTAAATGGTGAGATGACTGTGTCAGTCCTGGCATGATTAATTATTGTGCTATCGCTTCTACTAATGTTCAACTGAAATAAATTAGTTTGATAAGATCAGTAAGGGCCGTTTGTTTCCGGATCGAATATAAATTCGTATGAAGGAGCGTGTATAACCTCAAATCGTCCTCAAAGTTTTAAATGAAATTGATAAAATTCCGAGTCAGAAGGATATAATCATGAAGGACAAGCAAGATATGCAAGCACAGCACAGACTGATCAGTTTCATTAAACTCACCAAATAGTTCACCATTTGGAAGATACTCAGTGACAATGCATAAAAGCTTGGCAGTTTGCATGACTTGGTACAGTTTTATTATGTTTGGATGCTGAATGGTTTTTAATATTTCCACTTCGCGCTGTGCCTTTTCCAAATTTTCACTGGAAAGTCTTGTCTTATCAATGATTTTGATTGCCACCTAGTGGGTGGTTCAAAGTTCAATATCCAGTCCTACCTTAATCTGCGTAATAGTATGTCTTGCTAATTTCACCACCGAAAAGTTTCCTTTGCCGATGGTCTTTTCCAACACATAAGTTCCGATCTTCTGAGTAGGCTGACCTCGGCCAGTTGAAGCATTTGGAGGCACCTGTAAACAGCGAGCGGGTTTTGGGACTTCATTTTGCGGTTTAGAGTTTGGACTTTCGTGGGCCGGTGACATATTTAACGTGATACACGAAGTAGAAGGTGGACTGGACGATTCCGTAACCATTGTAGGGGGATGTGATGAGGTTTCTTCCAAAACGGTCGTATAAAAAAATCTCTCTGTCAATGGTGACTCATTAACGAAAGAGTAATGAGTGTTATTTGTGACCATGATTCTAACATCTTACAAAAACAAAACATTCGCACCGTCCACCAGCTGAGATGGCCACAGCCTAGCCTATGACATCACATTTAACCAATCGCTGACAAGCCAAGGTCGTCGTATCGCGTTCGTGGGCATGACACTTACCATTAACCAATTAATATTAAAGAATGTTTACAGCTGACAGCGTTAAATTTTTGGGACATATTCGCTGATTTACAAGGTGGTCACAGTACGTTGAGGACCAGCATATTCGTACATGCTACCTTGGTACGAAGGGAATATTATCATCAGGAGGGGTGGATTAAACCAATAATTTTTCTGGATCTCAACGACTCGGTGGAATTTTGCACTTATCGCTTCAAAATCAGCGCTCAACTTGTCTCTTTGCCTCAAACTGTCTTTAAGAGTCGCCAGAGCCAATAATTTACCTATCTTCCTAACTCTTTTAAAGCCCGCATTCCCACAAGTAGTACGCAACTGCTCTCTAAAAACTGCTGGGGCACTGAATCAAAGTCGGGTAGCAGAACAATACCAGGTAATGTGTGCAAATGCGCTCATTCATAATCATTATTTTTACATACTCAGTGTGGACATCAGATTTCTTAATTATAGGTTTTTTTTATTAAAATCAAACTAGGGAATCTTTATGTTTTAACTCAATGAGTATGCCGCCTGTAATCTTACAGCTAAGTAGCATTCATATACCAATGTTCAGTTCATTTCAGTATATGTGAGGGAAATAGGCTTAAGCCTTCGAAGTCGCAATGCGTCACATAGAAATCTCAAGAATTAGAAACAATGTGAGAACTTATAGCGACAAGAGTATTTCAACGTAGAGTCACACAGTGCAGTGCACAAGGTCTCCTTGTTACCGCACCATTCCTTTAAAACCGATGTTCGAATGACCCAGAATGTATACATTACAATCGCCTTAGAAGTTTTAATCCACGTTTACGTGAAACTGTGGATCGCACCTTGATCTCTTAATACGGTGTGTCTTCGTCTTTTTGTCCTTTCCAGTAAATTGTAATCCGACTGTGTACAGCTTCGCCAAGCCCGAATAGCATATTCCAGATACGGCCTTAAAAACGTACGAAATGCACTAGAAAAGCAATGTCAATTGAAAATTGCAAATCCGCGTGTGATGGCATACAGCATTGAGGCTGCGACTTTAACCACCTTACAAGCTTGTGTAGAAGTCTTTGCCATCCGAAGGACGAGATCGTTCTATGTTTTGGTTTTCCGGTCAGCTAATAGGGCCGCGTATGAGAGACCTGAGTTCCATCTCACAGGCACAGCAGGATGACTTTTTCTGAGTTGAAGGATATTAGCAAGCTGTGGGTACTCCCTACAAAACGACGAAGATTGTCTTAGAGGTTGGCTTTGTTGACAGCTTTGTGGATA